AACGAATTGCAAATCATTACAAAAAGCCTTTATGCAAACCTTAAGCTTCACTTTAGTGACAAAAGAATACCATATCATCGAAATTTATGTTAACCAACATGTCTCAAACAACAAGTAGTTGGCGTCGAAAAGGAAGCATTGAAGGCCCCTTTTCTGGAAACAATTTACTGTGGATGAAGTTAACGTACCACTATATATTCGTTTCTGGAGCCATCTAACTTTTTGGAGTACTCTTTCGTCCGCTTGATTCCTTCCAAGTTGTATAGTGTTTCTTCATCAAATTTGCTCCTCTCCTTGATAGAAAGTTTATCGAAATGCGCCTCCCAAGTATCCGCTCCATTTTTCACATTAACCTAAAACAATTTAGACAGCAACATTACAGGACTCGATCAGTTCAAATATAGGAGGCTGCATATAAAATCCTAGTGGTCATCTTAAACGAGAAGAACCATCTAGCCCCGTAGATGAGTTATGTAGTACATGTTTCTTACTGATAAGCTTGAAAATACGCAGCAATCCCTGTGACGGCTCAATGAACATATGGTCTCTGCATAATGAGTCAGGGGAACGGGATAAGCAGGTCAGTACAGATGAACAATTAATACCAGCCATAGATCTCTACAAGATGTATTGACAGTAAAAATCTGATGCAAGGTAAACGGTTTGTATATCCGTAGTGCGCCTGTATCCGGAATAGTTACAGTCACATTCAGTCATGCGAATAAGATGGACAGCTTCGATGCATGCTAATATAAATATTTGATAATTCTTGTCTTGAACACCACTCGGATATTACTGTGCTCTTACATAGTATTTGTCGAGTTGTCTGCAACATATGGCCTAGCTTCGAGTGATCTATATGTTTATTCAGAAACCACGACAAAAACAACATTCAATACAGAGTTGCCAATTGACTTAATACTCTGGAGCTATGACTCTATGTTGTCCAACCTAGCTTTCCGTTTCTTCTATATATATGTTGAAATCACTGAACATTGTTTTCAACGAGAGGGTGAACTTAACAACAGAATCAAGATAGTTTGAACAACAAAAGACACGAGTTAACCAGTGCAGAACTTTGAAGTTAACGACAAACCGAAACTATTGCACAAGCAGCCATGGAAGTCAATGCTTAGGAATCATATACTACAGCAAAGTACCCTGAGCCTCAAAAACTTAGGAATCACATTACCAGTCAACATGAATTTGTACGAATGCTTGTTGGAAGCCTGTACTCTCTCCGCGATCTCGTTCAATTCCTTCTGAAACGGTTTCGCCCAGCCAAGCAAGGCAACCTGAAATCATGAACAAAAAGCAACCTGAAATTGTCACGACCTCCATTGACTTGCATTAACTAGGACTAGTGCCCAGTTGAAATTAAATTAAATTAAGAGAGGTAAATTGCTGAGCTGAACTGAAGAAGATCGGGAGAACCTGGAGCTTAACCACGGTCGTCCTCTGGCGTTCGTACTCGTAGTAGTACCAAACGGCAGCGATCAGCAAAACGAGACCGACGAACACCATCCAGAATATCACATCCGAGTTGTCGTCGTCGTCGTCGTCCTTGGCCGCGCGGCGACGCGACGGCGCGCCGATCGATATGTGACTCGACGAGTCGTAGAACGAATACGAGTTGGAGGAGGACGAGTCGTCGGGCTCGGAAGAGGAGTAGGAGCGCCCGCCCATGACGCCGCCGGACGCGGCGAGGGCGGCCTGCGGGATGAGCGCCAGCGCGACGACGGCGGCGAGTAGCAGAGCGAGGGCGAGCGGGGCCCAGCGGCCGGCACAGCCGGCGGTCGCCATGGGAGGCGGCGGAGAGGGTTTAGCTAGCGAGCGAGAGGTTTGCAGTTTGATCGAATCGCGGCTGCTCGGTAATGCTGGCCCTAAATAGGATTCCTCGAACTCTGGTACATCTGAGTTTCCTGGAAGGCGCCTCCAACTCTCTCTGTACATCTGAATTTCTTGGAAAGTACTCCTCCTAAGAATTCAGTCTAGCTTAGCATGTAAGTTTCCGACATAACGTGAGTTCTAGTCGTGTTCAAAGTCGACTTGTGTTCAATGTCCGAAGGCGTAGTTTTTTGTCTTTGGACGTGATCGTGTAAGTGTTTGTTTAGTTTTGCTCTTGTCTCTAAATAAAAGCCAACATAAATTGTCCTCAAATTGCTGGAATCAGCAAATCTTCGTGGAAAAAACGTCCAATCAGATAAAGTCGAAATATTTGCAAACAAGTCTAGTCATCTACTCCCTCCGTTCCTAAATATAAGCCCTTTTATAGATTTCAATATATACTATACAAAGCGGTATCCTCAGCCTATATGGAGAGTGGCGTTTTGGCTCCTAGGTGCATATGCACCCATTGTCGAAATCCAAATTCCGAGAAGTTGAAAAATTCGAAACAAAAATCCCGCCTGTATATCCGGACATTTTATGTGCGTTCACAAGGTTTCGGTGAAAAACGACGTTTTTTGTGGCTTGTGTAAAAAAGACAATTTCTGATGCTTCATTGTAACTATTCACGAGGCATTTCTTTATCTTTTTTACACAAGCCACAAAAAACGTCGGTTTTCACCGAAACCTTGTGAACGCACATAAAATGTCCGGATATACACGCGGGATTTTTGTTTCGAATTTTTCAACTTCTCGGAATTTGGATTTCGACAATGGGTGCATATGCACCTAGGAGCCAAAGGCAATTACCGGCCTATATGTCAATATATATACATATCCATGTGTAGTCCGTATTGAAATCTCTAATAAGGCTTATATTTGCGAACCAATCTATGGTTGGATGGTTAGGAGGACAGTGGTGTCCTCAGCCCATCAGAATTCAAGTCCTGATGCTCGCATTATTTTTGTATTTATTTCAGAATTTCCGACGATGCGCATTTCAGCGGGAGGAGACGTTCCCGTCGAGGCGCATGTGATGACTTCATCAATTTTAAGAAGATATGTCGGCTCAGTCTCTCGAAGAAACTCATAGGAGTAGGGTCTGCGTGTGATGGAATTTGTGTGCTCCGAGGAAGCCATTGGATAGGATGCATTGCCAACTTGAGTAGTGTCTGATCCATCGTATTGATGCCGCTTCAGCTCCAGGTATCTCCACCGGATAGCCGAGATGAAGCAGTTGTTGTATGATGAAAGGAGGAGCATATTTCTCGTGAGCAGAATAGAGCTAGCCTTAAAAAGGATGTTGATGTAGTTGTTCCAAGTTTAAATTTCTCGTTGGCATTAATGTCTTTTGAAACTAACACATTGTTCCTCCACCCAGAAATGTAAATCATGTTTGACTACTTGCAATTTTTCACACTCAAGTTTGATTTTGTTGCGATATATGCTGATTTAATAGTAGGTGAGGAACTGAGATCGATCAACACACCCGTACACTATAGTGTCTAGAACAGTGACGGCCACACTACAACATGGATAGGGAGTATGACACTATCTTTGGCATCAAGAAGTTAGGGCATCTCCAACACCGTCTCTTAAATCAGACGCAATATCCGTTCGTGGATGCGTCTGGACATGGATCAACATGAATGGTCAACCTTCCATTCTGTGGTGCAACACGTAACGCATCCAGGCTATACAACATAATGACTATCAAATTGCAATACTGAATGTATCAATGAATTGATCAACATACAGAGCAACAAGAAGCAAACTTACGATCTCCACGATCGACGCGTCGGATGGCCACCTTCTCTCCACTTTTGTGCAATCGCACTACAATACTTCATGTCGGCGGTTTGACATGGCGCACCGTTGATAGGCTAGTGACTTATATTGCCATCGTGAGTTATAAGGTGCGGAGTGCTTTTGCTTATGAAACCAAGAATGCACATTTAACCAAAACATTGCACTGTTTGCTTCATGCTTACAAAGTCAGCAATTCAAGCCAACCACGGATCACACAACTCATCCTCCATCATCGAGTATTCCACCATCGTGCTTGCTCTAAAGAAATAACGAGAACGTCAAAAAAGAAAACTCAATGACATTTGGCTAAACACTTCTGGGGTGTGGTGCCTGGCATGGACGGCGTTGGCGAACGGATCCAGAGTTACCACAGCTCGAAGGCAGGCAGGCACGTGGGAGAAGCTGGCGAACATCCAACAAGACATGTGGGACGGTGGCAACGTCGGGCTAGGAGGGTGCAAATACAAGGGTGAGGGAAGAGATGGAGGGGAAGAAAAGGGTAAGTGGGCTAAGGGTGCCGGAGCCCTACGTGGCAGAAGTTTGAACTCCTGCAAACCTCCTCCAGTTAGCAAGAACACGGAAACGGCCATTTGCGGCACCTCGAAAAAGTCCAAACACCTCGAGAGACATTTGCAGACGATTTAAAGGACGGCTCTCCCTGCCATTGAGCTCCAGCGCTCGTGTATGCGTGCAGAAGTTTGGACTGGCCAAAACTCACCTCGGTTTTGCTATTCCATAACTTTGGTGCTGCTCAGATTAGATGGAGCACGACCTGACGCTTCCTGGCTGGAGGTTGCAGATGAACAGGACTCAATCAGGCAGTTCCTGACGCATAAGCAGCCCAACTGACCTTAATTTGGCCTATGTTAAGGAGCCAAAAGCTCAACCTTTTTAGGCTCTAGCCAAACTGACGGCCCAACCGCTTACTGGCTCAACCTTTTTAGGCTCTAGCCAAACTGACGGTCCAACCGCTTACTAGCCCAACTGACGGCTCAACGTGATCGTCCCGTTCTACGGACTAACTTTGCCTTCTACTCAAAAAAAAAAAAACTAACTTTGCCTAGCCAGGTAACCGGCAGCACATAGCAGTAGAAGAACACCAATGGGTACTCAAAATGAAAGCTTGCTGGACAAATTCTAGGAGTGAATATAATTATCCCTAAGCAAAAGCTCCCATCCTTTAATTCCAGAAATTACAGGGTTCAAACTTCGATGGCTGTAATATACGGGTCGAACCAATAATAACCTCAGGACAAGGCTAGCTTGATGGTAGTACTTCCGAGACACCTAAGGCGCTGATCATCTCAAAAATATTTGTGCGGAACCGAGTCGAAGTCATCGTAGTCGAATCTTGCACGTTCCCTTCCACTCTGCACCTACTTACACGTATTAGAAAATAACAGAGGGCAACGGCAAGAAGGGAAAATACATGTGCAAGCCTGAAGAGCTAACCTTCATCAAAAATGCATGATCGCACGAGATGTTCTGATCAATTGAGGTCAGCTTCTTGGACAAAGCCATCAACCTGAAGAATATTTGTTAGAGCGTTAAATCCGTCACAAAACATTAGTTGTTTCTGCTCCATATTTAATCATATTCAGCATGTGCCTAAGAATGAATTCTGGAATAGAAAAAACATGCCACCTACTAAAATAGAATTAATCAATCAAGTAACTATATTTCGAATTCTCAGTGATGTTCCAAGTTGAGACTATGGATAGGACGCAAAGAGTGGAATTATGTACCAAGGAAAATGATAAATTTCAGAAATCTAGGAGCGTGCACAACTTATATATAACATACAGGCACGTACCTTTGAATAGAAGAGTCAATGTGCTCCACCATCTCACTACTTTTATATTGCTCGGGATCTTCATTAAAGCTGACCATGCCATCCTTCTGGTTTATCGTTGCATGGATCTCACCATCTTCAATCTGAATTCATTAAATAGTCAGATTGTGTGATAATGTTTTCCGTAGATGCTAAAGATCACCAGACTGCATAAAAACACCTACCATCCTAAGTACATGCATCTCAGCTTCTTTCGGGGTGTTAAGTTGAACAGAGCTGGCAATGTCTTCAAGTGAAAGAGTTAAGTAGGTCTGGGTCAGCCTCTGGATGTTTCGCTTGTACATTGAAGAAAGAACTTGCTTCACTAGTCCAAAGTTGTTATCCTGAAACACGCAAATAATCAGAAACCAACGCATATTACTGTGCCATGAAAATCTTACTGACAGATTATTAGTAGTATATAGCATATAAATAGAAAAATAACTAGAAGTAGTTCCCAGCAAGGAAGGAGGTAGGTACAGCTGGGGGTATGCCTGGTAACAGACTAACAGTAGAGCATGTTAGACAAAGAAGGAAAGAGAAAATACTCACAGTTTGGAAGGCTTCTGCATTTGACTGGATGAATGTCTCCAAATCAGAGTAGCTACCAGTACCATAGCATGTAGACAGATCGACGTAAATCTAAAAATTAAACAGTATAGACAGCATTAATGCTTCCTGAAAGAGCTAAAAAGGATTATCATGTAATAAAAGGGATAAATTACATCATTTATAGCAAAGGCACGTATTATTAAAGCATGGCACTAGTGGTGACAAGACATCCATGTATAGACAGCATTAATGCTTCCTGAAAGAGCTAAAAAGGATTATCATGTAATAAAAGGGATAAATTACATCATTTATAGCAAAGGCACGTATTATTAAAGCATGGCACTAGTGGTGACAAGACATCCATGTACTTAGTCTTAGGACTATGAAACTAAGTCAGTTCATTTTTAAAGTCTAAGGAATGCACATTGTACCAAGAATCAATCAAATGTAGCTGATAGAGTAAAGCAATAAACATCATTCAATAGAATAATGCATGAATAACCACCATAAAAATTTATCAGAACTGAATCAATTTGACTACCATGGCACCAAAACCAATGAATAAACTAGGAAGGGCGAAAAAATATACAATGAAAAATTATACATCAGAACTAAATTTAATTTGACTACTGTCACGCCCAAAGCCAATGAAGAAATTAAGGAGAGCAGATGACTACCAGTCTACCACATTGCATCCAACAACTTGTGAGTGCAAGAGCAACACCTTTTTTCACTGGATACATTTGAAATTATAACTCATAGGAAGGAAGTATACCTGAGTGTGATTTTTCAGATTCCTTTGAGCAGTCGAAGATGTGTACTTGGGGAATGACGGAACCTGTTCCAAAAATTCAATACATCTCAACTTGACATACCGCACCAGACTTCAACAAAATCATTCCAAATGTAACAAGCTATCTCAACCACCAGTAGAGCAAAGGGCTTAGAGGGCCATTGGTTTTCATTCCAAACAAATAATGATGGACAACGGTTAATGATTACGATATGCACCTCTGTTTTTAAGGCGTCCGTAAGGCGTCGCTTAGGCGACGCCTAGGCGTCAGGGCGCCCTCCAGGCTCAGGGCGTCGGCCTTGCCTTAGACAGTCGTGTAAGGCGTCCGCCTTAGGCTGTAAGGCGTCTGAAGCGTCCGCCTTAGCGCCGCCTTGCACGCCTCAGACCAAATCGGACGCCTTAGCTTGTCAGGCAGGGAAACAGAGATTGCAGGCGGGAAAACTGACCTGGGCGGGAACACAGGCGTGGGAAACATTGGTTCAGGTGCGACCAGTTATGAGAAGGGGAAAGAGAGAGTGAATCGACGCGAGAGGTCTCTCCTGTCTCCTCTCTGGACCATTGACGGAGGCTTCCTCCTCAGATCTGCGGCAGCCGCCAGCCTCCTCCCTCTGGCCACAGTTCCTCCCCCTCCTCTCTGGCTGCAGCTCCTCCCCATCCTCCTCTGGCGCAACCCTCTTCCAGCAGATCAGCACCACATCAAGGTATGAATTCAGCCCTCTCTTCTCCCCCCTTTCCCCCTCTCCTCTTTCTTCCATCCAGCAGTGTAGCTTGCCATGCTTGCCTGCTCTGTTATGCACAGCTCCTCTACTAACTGTTAGGTGCTGCCTCTCTTATGCACAGCAGTGTAGCTAGATGTGCTTGCCCGCTCCTCATCTGCATCTGTTTCTTCCCAGATCTGCTTCTCCACCCACAAGGCAGCAGCCCCACCACTGCTTCTCTCCTTCCCCGTGCTTGATCTGGCTGCTCTAGTGATTTGGCTCTTCTCTCTTTTTCTTTGACAGTAGCCAGGTGTACCTGCTCTAATGGATCTAGCCAATGATCCTAGGAGAAGAGCTACATCAGATGATCCAGCCTGGAAGTATGGATTCTGGCCAGATTTAGAGAGGAAAGATTTACTCCAGTGTACATTGTGTGGCAAGATAGTCCATGGTGGAGTGAGAAGGCTAAAGCAGCACTTTTCTGGGGGTTCCAGTGATGCGGATAAGTGTCCCGAGGCATCCATGGAGATTAGGATAGAGATGCACAATTCCTTAAACACTAGAAAGTTTAAAGCTATGGAGCGATATATTGATGAGGAGGATGAAGCTGAACTTCAAAGGCGCCGTTCTGTCATATACACAAGATGATTTGAGGCCTATGCTTTGGTAACAGTTTATATGTTAATGTTAGTTGTTAAATCTCCTAACTGGTGGCCATCTATTATATATGTATGTACAATTTATTAAGTTAATGCTAGTTGTTAAATCTCCTAATTGGCTGCCATATATTATATATGCACGTGTCTAAGGCGTCGCCTCGCCTTACGCTTTAGCGCTTAGGCGGTGAGGCGCCCCCCCAGCGCCTCACCTCGCCTTACCGCCTTAAAAACATAGATATGCACGCACTAATATGGGCACCAATAGCCTATGTTGCCATATTTTCTTCATTCACTCACAAAGTTTGTATATTTGTGCTCCCTATTTGTACCAACTAGGGATAACAAAACAAAGAATTATGAATTTATGATCATCAAATCACAATAGGTTTATCGCATTATTCCATTAACAGAAGATAGGAGGAGGGGGTCCATGCATTCAGCTTGTAACGCCAGCAAATCTGAAACAGGTGTAGTCTCTTTTCAGGGATATGATATGTTACTACATTAATCTAGCATTCTAGCATCAAATTTGGCCCTATGTCATTCACATTCTTACCTTAGACCTAGCTTAATCTAGCAAGTGGCATATATGAATAGGACACATCTTTGGTATTAATGCATCCGCTTTCTTCTCCAAGGTGTTCCATTTGATTGATTTCCTATTTTCTATGTGGTAGTGGTCTTAAGTTACATATTCCATTTTAAAATGATTTTCTTCTGATTAAAGCTGGGAAGAAACGAACTTGTTCACCCAACAACAAATGCAGGTGACAACAAACTACATCTTATATCTTATTTTGGCAACTAATAATGTGCATCTATCTACAGGAAGCATCAATGTCGTCGATCAAAGCTAGGCAGGATAGACTAATTGATCCAAACCCAACGCAATAAGGCAACTTTTCCCTAAAAGTAGCATCATAAATCACTACAGAATGCAAAGAAATGATATACCTGTCCACTCTGAATGAGTGAAACTAGGACATACTTCTTGTAAGCCTCGACAGTAATTGCATTCAATGACGACATTGGGGCAGTAACAGCCTGAAAAAAGAAGTATATCTTCGGTAAACAGCACGAACGGAGAAACGGCTATCCAGAAAACTAGTCACGTAGTTGAAGGCCTCACATTGTGAAGAAGCTCCAATGCTTTACGGAACTTCTTCAGCCCAATATATATCATCGCCCTGCAAGAGAAGGAAAACTAGTAATCAAGTCAACACATACTCAAAAACTGTAAGCCATTCGACAAACTTAATCCAGACCCGTAGTAGCAGTAGAGGAACAAGTCCTTGGGCTGATCAACTTCGAATATATCGTCTTCCAGGACGCTCAGGCCAGCCTTGTACTGCTTGGCCAGCAGGCACAGCATCAGGTATTCCGCGTGGAGTGGGGTAAGCTGCTCTGACGATGTCTGGATCTTGCGGACGGCCGCCCGCAGCGGAGCAATCCCTCTGATCGGCGCATTGAGCTGCATGACCTCGTTCTTGAGCACCCTACACACATTCAGAACTGCACAAACAAACAGATTAGAAAGATTAGCACACAGCAAAACGAAACGGAAAAGTTATTTGATAATCGCACAACACACACATTTGTCGGGCGCCAGGCGTATCTGGTCTGCCGAGCAAGAGGTGAGGAAATCGGCCACGGTCACAAGAAGGTCCCCGCCGGCGTGCGCCCTCAGATTAGCGGACGACGACACGAAAGAATCCCTGCAGAGAGTGAACGAACGATTAGATGCGCTAGGGATCGATCGACGCGAAGGAGAGATTGGAGCGTCGCGGCGCGATGGACTCGAAGGGGGTTAGGGTTTTGGTGAAGGGGGAGGTGGTGCGGGGTCGCGTACAGGAGGTAGAGGTAGCCGAGGGAGTGGGCGCCGGGATGGAGGTGGGAGAGGAAGGGCAGGAGGCCGGCGGAGTGGACGCGCAGGGCGTCGCCGTCGGCCTGCTTGAGGAGGCCGTGGAGCTGCGCCAGCTCGTCCGCGCTCCCGGAGAGGCCCTGGATGTGCGCCACGAGCGCCTCCACCGATTCCATCGCCGCCGCCGCAGATGGGGTTTTGCCCTTGCTGCTTGGCTCGGATTCGGGGGTTTGGTCTTGTGGCGTTCGCGATGCGGGTTTTCGCCTGGTTGGGGGAGACGAGACGAGACGGGACGGGACGAGCGGCGGATGGTGCTTTTGTGGGCACGCGACCGGCCCAAAGGCGTCTTGTTCTTGGGGGCCTCTACGTCTGATGAATCTGGACCGTTCGGTGAGTTTGGAGATGTAATCTGCCCCGTCCATGTGAAAAAAAAGAGGTCGCGGATTATGACTCTGCCGTTTGATGGGAGGAGAGAACGACGTTTTGATCTATATCTAGAGTGTGTTTGTTGAAAAACATTCTTTGAAGTACTAACAATGTGATGTCCTTAAGGATAAAAAAACAAAACAATGTGATGTCCTTTGTATACAAGTCAGCCACGTCCATATACCCAAGTCAGCCACAACATGTGAGACGAAAAGAGGGCATAAGGGCATGACTAGGGCTGCACCAAAAGCCCGTAGCTCGCGAGCTTAATGAGCGCTCGATAGTTCGGCTCGTTAAGCTCGGAGCTCGCTTCTTAATGAACAGAGCCAATCATAGATTCCAGCTCGCTAAACTTAACGAGCTTAACGAACGAGCTAACGAGTTTCACGAGTAGCTCGTTAAGCTCGTTAGTAACAACATAACACATATTTCCATCTTACGTAACAAACTTTTTGTAGCAACTCAGCCCATCAATTCAATCTAATCGACATATGAGGCAACAAACTAGTGCATTTCTATTTGTACTCACCATATTTCATCTTGAAAACCATACCTACACATTCATCCTGTATATCGAAACACATTATAATCTGTTAACGAGCGCTCGCGAGCTTAACGAGCTTCAAACGAGCCGAGCCGAGCAGGGTTTTCTGCTCGTTAATCTTAACGAGCTTAACGAGCCGAGCCTTAACGAGCACGAGCTTAACGAGTACGATCTTAACGAGCCGAGCTGCTCGTTAGTCCACCCCTAGGCATGACCAACGGTGGTATCACCTTGGTGATGCCCCGACCCATCCACATAAGCCCATGAAGTTGAGGCCGCTGGTTAGTTTCGCATCTACCCAACGCATCCATGGCTTCGTGACGTTGTCATCAGCGACAACCATGTGTGAGGTAGATAGCTCCTGTCTCTCCTCTGCTCCCTTTTCTCATCTCTTTTTTGCCTTTTCATCTCACTCCTCACTTTATCAATCGAGGAACCCGCCTCTTCTGCAAGTGTCCGTCCCGTCTGCGAGGCACCCGCTGAGCTGTCGGCATGGCGTCCGAGCCGAGCTGGCTTGCGAGGCAGCAGGGCTGGGGCTACCCATTGGCCATGCCCTAATAACCGTGAAAAAGAAGAGGTTGCGGATTATGACTTTGTCGTTTGATGGGAGGAGAGAATGACGTTTTGATCTATATATCTACAGTGTGTTTATTGAAAAACATTCTTTGGAGTACTAACAATGTGATGCCCATAAGGGTAAAAAAACAAAACAATGTGATGTCATTTGTAAAAAATGTGTTGGATCTTTCTATACGAAGGACATCACATTGAGTAAAAAATGTGGATCTTTCTATACAAAGAACATCACATTGTTTTGTTTGTTTGTTTTAAGTTTTAACTAGAAATGCATTTCGTAACTTCACCTCGCACAGCCCACTTGTCGACGACCAATTCATACACAAAGTTAAGAACTTGCTCCTTCCAACATTAGTAGAGCATACCAACCCTAAAGTTGAACGCTGCAAGGCCATGAGCTACCTTATTACACTCACGTTTATGGAATTTGAAATCAAAAGCTTCAAAGGAGGCAAAACAAAAGGCTAGCGGCTCTCTCACGAGTACACCTATAAATGACTAATCATAGTCGCCAATAGTGAGGGCATTGACGAGGTGGAGCAAGTTTGACTCGAAGGTCTCCCAACATATGCCCCATTTCAGCAGCTCCTTCAATAGCTTTGACGCATGTTGTAGCTTTCAATAGTAATGGGGTGACCAAATGGTCCAGGGTTGATAGGGTAAACATATGAAGTAATGACAAATTCAGAATAATATAGGCCTAACATAGATGAATAATCATACACCAAAAAACATATCTTAGGGCTTCTTGGACTCGAAAAATGCCTACATTTTTGGCTAGTTGAAATCCATAGAAGAATCCCACTATGGGTTGTTGTTCAATCACATGATTTAATCATATAGGAAAATTGTCCACAAATTTAAAAGAAAAATCTCGGTTGTCCCCTCGAAAAAAATCATCTGCTTTCCTATCATGAAACCAAACACACTTTTGTATGTAGTGTTTGAGTAGATTTGACATTGCAACTCGTCCACCACATACCCTCGCATATTTTAGGAGGCAGTTCTCTTCGGAAAAAAACGAGGATTAATCCTCTGAAAATAAATTGAGGGCATAAATGTTGGGAACGTGGCATGCAATTTCAAGAAAATTCCTACGCTCACGCAAGATGTATCTAGGAGATGCATAGCTACGAGAGGGAGAGAGTGTCCACGTACCCTCGTAGACAGAAAGCGGAAGTGTTTGCCAACGCGGTTGATGTAGTCGAACTTCTTCTCATTCCGACCGATCAAGTACCGAACGTACGACACCTCCGAGTTTTGCACACATTCAGCTTGATGACGTCCCTCGAACTCTTGATCTAGCAGAGTGTCGAGGAAGTAGAAGAGTTTTGTCAGCACAACGGCGTGGTGACGGTGACGGTGAAGTTATCCGCGCAGGGCTTCGCCTAAGCACTACGTGAATATGACCGGAGGTGTAAATTGTGGAGGGGGGCGCTGCACACGGCTAACAAAACGTTGGTATGTCTTCTAGGCGCCTCCCCCTTCATATATATAGGTGGGAGGGAGAGGGGGCAGCCAAGGGGGCGCCCAAGTAGGAGGAATCCTACTTGGGGCCCTAATCTTATTCGCTCTGCCCCCCTTACCATAATTCCCGAAGGGGAAAGGAAGGAGGAGGTGGGAGAGAAGGAAGGGGAAGGCCGAATCCCTCCCCTTCCTTTCTCTCTTCTCCTCTTTCCTTCCCCCCTATTTCGGCCTACATGGGGCGCACTAGCCCCTTAGGGGCTGGTCTTTCCCACTCTTGGCCCATTAGGCCCATGTAGTTGCCGGGGGATGCCCGGAACCCCTTCCGGTGACCCGATATGTACCTGGTACCCCCGGAACACTTTTGGTGTCCGAATACTATCGTCCTATATATCAATCTTTACCTCTCGACCATTTCGAGACTCCTCGTCATTTTCGTGATCTCATCCGGGACTCCAAACAACATTCGGTCATCAAATCACATAACTCATATAATGCAAAATCATCATCAAACGTTAAGCGTGCGGACCCTATGGGTTCGAGAACTATGTAGACATGACCGAGACACCTCTCTGGTCAATAACCAATAGTGGAACCTGGATGCTCATATTGGTTCCCACATATTCTGTGAAGATCTTTATCGGTCGAACCGGTATGACTATATACGTTATTCCCCTTATCAACGGTATGTTACTTGCCCGAGATTCGATCGTCGGTATCTTCATACCTAGTTTAATCTTGTTACCGGCAAGTCTATTCACTCGTTCCGTAATGCATCATCCTGCAACTAACTCATTAGTCACTTCGCTTGCAAGGCTTCTTATGATGTGCACTACCGAGAGGGCCCAGAGATACCTCTCCGATACTCGGAGTGACAAATCCTAATCTCGATATATGCCAACCCAACAAACACCTTCAGAGATACATGTAGAGCATCTTTATAATCACCCAATTACATTGTGACGTTTGATAGCACACAAGGCATTCCTCCGGTATCCGGGAGTTGCGTAATCTCATAGTCGGAGGAATATGTATTTGACATGAAGAAAGCAGTAGCAATAAAACTGAATGATCATAATGTTAAGCTAACGAATGGGTCTTGTCCATCACATCATTCTCCTAATGATGTGATCCCATTCATCAAATGACAACACTTGTCTATGGCTAGGAAACTTAACCATCTTTGATTAACGAGAGAGGCATTGTCAGGACCCCAATCCTAAGTCACACCGATCTAGCATGTAACACATCATATCTCTTTGCGGCCTCACGCACGGTACTCCCACGGGTTCCACCTTACCTGGCACGGGACCGTTTGTGCCTTTTGGCTCACGTATATGATAATGTTGCTAGTATCCATATGACAGAGAACCTGCGCCGACATGACTAATCATAAACCCAAGGTGGCCCTAACTTACATGTACAGGCATACATGACCCAGCAATGAACGTGTCAAACATCAACGTATGAACCCAAGTCATAGCAAGCTATAAGGATTTAAAGGAACACCGCGTGGCATTTCCCCTAAGGGACAGATACAGGAACGAAAAAGGACACATGCCGGCCAGCCTAAGTGTTCTGGAGCAGTAGCAAGCTACTATGGCTCAGTGGAAACACTAGGAGACATTTCTCCATAAGAGAGGAAACCAAGAATAAACAACTAGGTTGTCGGATCCCACACATACCAAGCATTTCAAAACCATACACATAATATGCTCGATATGTGCAAATACAACATGGCATCACAACAAAACTCTATGACTCCAAGTATTTATTTAGAAGGCTCCGAAGAGTCAGATATTACAAGCATGGGTCTCATGACCCAACATACAGAGCATACAAGCAACGAAAGCATAACACGTCTAAGTACAGACAACTACAAATCAAAAAGGCTGAGAAGCCTGACTATCTACACGACCCTCCCAAGGATACAAGATCGTAGCTGAGGTAACAAGCTAAATGTTGAAGTCCACGCAGAACTACTAGTGAGACTGAAGTCTCTCTGCAAAAACATAAATTAAGCAAATGTGAGTACAGATGCACCCAACAAGACTTACATCAAAACTATCTACATATGCATCAGTAACAATAAAGGATTAGTGGAGTTTAACTGGAACAAGCTGATACATCTCCAACGTATCTATAATTTTTGATTGTTCCATGCTA